TTGGGATAACAACATGATGATCTCAGGGTTTTTTCTCAGGGTAACAACATGTAATCTTTTAACCATTCTCTGGAAGGAAATGTAAGAAAGAAGCATACTGCCCCAGAATATACAATCATGCTTCTCAATTATAACAATGCTGCAGTTTCCTTAAATGAATTTCTAAACTCTTTCTGTATTTAGAAAGGCTCCTCTGCATTTCAGACACCTCTAAGTCTAACATTAAATGTACTATTGATCGATTTCAGGAGGGGCGGACATGAAAAAAAAAGTACTGCTCTCAGAAACTTCAAAAGAGCTTTTGCCTAGGACATATCCAGCTGTAGAACTGGCAAGTCTCCACCCTCATGGTCAGATCTAAGAGACCATAAAAGCACTATCATTTTTCAAGCGTTCACATTTGCTGTTTGGGGCATCTGGCAGTAAATCAACTCTGTGGAACAATATGTCTCATTCTCAAGTAGTACTGCAGAAAAACTTATCTGATCATTTGGTATATCATCTGAGAGCTGTTGAGAATAACAGGCTATCACCTGTAGCAAAGCACCCTAGCACAGATGGAGACAGTACTTAGCAGCCATTTTGGGTAACATGTGTTTCTGCTAGAGAAACACGTAACATGTGTTTCTGCTACAGAAACATATGCAGCAAGAGAACAGAAAGGGCCAGAATTTATCTTCTACTGTGGTATCTTTGAACCTTTTTGGATGAGCACTGACTGTTAAGGATCAAAACGTTCTGTTTTCCAGCCTAAAGGTAAATCATCTTTCTTCAGCAGGCATCAAAGGGAGACACTAGCCATGAACTAGACCACGAATCCTGTCTGCTGGCAGAATCCCTCCCTATCTTCTAATATCTTTCTCATGATGCTGTTAGTCCTCTTGAATAAAGGAAAATATCCTACTTTCTAGTAGCACATAATAGGGACACATTTCTGAATTAAAGAAACCTGAACTACTCAGGAGTCCCATGATTGATTAATATATAAAAGAAAAACAATACATTCAATATTATATATATGACTAATTCAAGCATGTTCATTTTATGGTCATAAACTCAGCACCTGGCATACACTGATTTTCTGTCGACATTTTCAAGAGAGGAGATTGCTTGGCATTAATAGCCCTCAAGTGTTTTCACAATTGTAGTAGTAAGGATGCTACTACTTGGATTTATTTATTTATTTTGCAACCTCGCATGTTGGCGTGACTGTCAGTCTGTCCAGCACTAACTAAATAGCTCATCTTACCTCTGAATTCAGCCATGTTTTCTTTGTTTGCTGATTGACCTGTTCAGAACTGTCAGTAAAGAAAATGGTTCTTATTCTTTCTTCTATTAACGTCTCAGAGTGTTACTGAGACTGAAAAGGCCAGCTAATGAGAAAAGAAGTGGACGAATCTGGGGAACTTCAAGCTATATTCTGCTCTGTGAATCCCTGCACCTCTGCTGTGCAGGTACAAGAATTTAACCAGAAATCCAAAACTTCACAGCAGAAATGAGTGAGTCACCTCAGGCCATAAAATTTATACAACTACAAGGTTGGGGTGTCTTAGACACGCATCAAACTTCTCAAAATCAGTTCATTCTCAATTAATCACCTTATCTGTTCAACACATAATATCCCAGATTATTTCCTTCCTAGATCCCTCCTTCCCAAATTATTTTTTTTGTAATTTAGCACCAATACTCCCACCTCCCCTTGTCCCCCCCCAGAGAAAAATACCAGTTTTACTTCCTGCCCAAGCAATATAGCCAGATTCTTTCTCTCTCTTTTTTTTTAAGTCCACACAGCAACTACTCAATAGTTCTATTCATTATATTTTCCTGTGACAGCATTGGGACTGTTCATCCAGACTTATAGATATGGTATATGGATCGTTGATGACACCGTTTGGATTGGAAAAAAAGACCTCATCTGCAAGTGTTCCTACTAGAACGATTCATCCTTCCCCTTTAAGAACGGTCACACAGCTTTTTTGGGTTAGTAATAGGGCATGCATTCTTTTTGGCACGCTCACAGTTTAGCCAGGAGATAGAAGTCTGCAGCAACCTCAGCTTCCGTTTGCCATCATAGCTGCAGGTTCTGAGGGAGAAGGAGAGAAAGTGGAGGGAGAACCAGGGAAGGGAAGCAGGGAGGGAGAGAGAAAACTGAACCGCACCAACAAAGGGAGGGAGGAGCAATGTAAAAAACATTTTCACTTCCCCTGACCCTTGGGAGATGATCAGGGGAAGTGCTTAACTGACAGCTGATCAGGCTTCAAGAGGTCATTTGCTGTTCAGACAGGAGGAGCATGCCAAATGGCATATTGCTCCCCCCACAACAGACACTTTATACCTTGATCTATCCCCACACCCAAAACAGCCAGTCTGGACAGGCCTCTGTGCTCCTCCAAATGTTTTTGGACACACATTCCAATCAGTTATCACGAGCATAGTTCCTCAACCTCCAAAGGGTGGCAGATTTCCACCAGATTCTACTGATCTAGAGAGAAACAGGTACAGTTACAAAACAGAACAAAATACTATGTGACACAACACAAAGCCGTGTTGTTCTCCATCCAGCACAAGATGTGTTTTATCTCATGTAAAAGGGGATGCCCTTGGAGGGAACCTTAATGTATGAATTCCTTCGGCTTCCCGTATGAAACATTAGAAGATGGAACTGGCACCTCCAGGTATCTACACCTCAAATATAAAATAGTGCTTTGTAAATTCCTGCTTTGTAGAATAGTGCTTAATCCCTGCAGACACTTGTGGCTGCCTCTATGCTAATAAACATCAGGAAACACATTTTTAGGTTCTCTTGAGTTATTCTAACATGAAAAAGTTTGAAAACATGCAACTGAGACACTATTTCTTTTCTCGATAACTGCATCTCCTTCTAAAAATGAGGAAGGTAGCTTGGGAATAGCCTCCATTCCCACTCTACTTATAGGCATAATTAGAAATATATAATCTCTGATAGATTTCTGGTGTGTAATTAAGAGCACACCTTCCGTAAGATATGAGTTGAGGACCTTTTTGGTAAATCATGCAGCATACATTGCTTTTCAGAAAAAGAGGTAGCTATTTAAAGTTAAGATGAAGTCTGACTGAAAAATTAAAAATTCCATACTTGAACCACAAACCCTTGTGTTCAGTGTATTGGAATGGAACCAAGAATGCGTTTAAAATAACTATTAGAATTGTATATATATTAAAATCAGGGTCTTGTTTCATGAACAATGATTTGGATTTTGTTGAGAATAGTTGGTCACTTTGTGGGATTAGAACATGAAATTCATACTGCTTTGGCTGTTTTCTCAAATGCCCCAGACAATTTTTTGTGTGTGTCAGCATTGTGAATACAGCTGGTTTAAAACTAAGTGGCTCGATTTAGGAATTGATTTCTATACATTTGATACAAAAAACTTAACAAAGGCCAGAAGGATCCCACAGAATATAAAGACTGCAAGCCAAAAGGTATGAAGCAAGAAAAAATGAGGAAGATATAACCCTTTCCCCCTAGAAAGAAACAGGAAATGAGATCTCCCTCACACTCACACTATCTTTGGTCTAAATGAACAACAGAAACCTAGAGTGGTAGGCTGGACAACGTTACAACTGCAAAAGGGATTTCTCCTTGCAGAGAAATCTTGCTGTGAGAAGAAGTGAGAAAGCTAAAATGAGAAGCTGCAAGATTCAAATCTATAAAACACATACCGACAAAACCATCCCTACCATTAGGTGCCGTGAGGCAACCTCCCTAAGCAGCAGTGTCTGAGAGACAGTGGCAGCAGCTCATTGCTGTTTTTCTGAACCCTTGGCCATCATCCTCTAATCAAAGCAAAGCAATGGCACATAGCCTGTTCTGGACTCCCTAAAGCAGTGGTTCTTAACCTTGGGCTACTCGGGTGTTTTTGAACTGCAACTCCCAGAAACCCCAGCCAGTATAGCTGGTGGTGAAGGCTTTTGGGAGTTGCAGTCCAAAAACACCTGAATAACCCAAGGTTAAGAACCACTGCCCTAAAGTACACACCTGCTTTCAGTCATAAAGACACATCCACTAACGGAAGACACTTCCCCATAATTTCTAGCACTGAAGCAAAATTCAACTGCCAGTCCAATTGACCTCTGTTTATGGAACAGAAGGGAAGCCAAATGTCTTGGGGTGGCTCTGGACACTGGTATTCCTAACCCCACAAAATATTCACTGTAGTTTCTCTTTTAGCATAAACTATACAAGAAATTTATCTGAATCTCAAATTGAATTAGTTTGTTTTAGACCTATTCAGATCAAATCTGAGGTCGACTGAATAGGTCCAAATAGGATTTCAATCCAATCTGGATCAATCCAAATTGATCCAGTGATTCCTACAGCAAAACAGTGGTTCCCAAACTTGGGTAACACAGGTGCCCTTGGACTACAACTCTCAGAAACTGTGGCCAGCACATTACCATTTTCATGAATGCTCATTCAGATAGATAGATAGATAGATAGATAGAGAGAGAGAGAGAGAGAGAGAGAGAGAGAGACAGACAGACAGACAGACAGACAGACAGAGACAGAGACAGAGACAGAGAGAGACAGAGAGACAGACATTTTAATTTCCCAACACAAATCCAACAAATTTGGATTTCTAAATTTATATTTACATTTGAGTGAATATAAATCAGATCAACTGCAAATTGTTCTGAACTGAATTAGGTCTTGACTCAAATCAGGGGACCCCTGTAGAGACCTTCGGGAGCCTTTTCCAGTTTATTTCTGTCATCTCAATGTACCAATAAGCACAATTCTAACAGACACACAACCATTTACTAAATGTTAGGATCATTTAAAAAAAATCTTACATACATTTCCTTTAAATTGTATTCAGAGGATGTACTTGCTGTAGAAACACAGGATATTCTTATCTTGAATCTCCTGTCTATAAATACCTTATATAGCAATAATCAAGACAACTAAAACAATGCATGTGTTTTGCATCAGTGGGTTATTTATTTTGGGTGTTACTCACTGCTACACTTCCTTCAGGGAGTTTTGCCGGCTGAACTTTGTATGGCATCTTCTTTACTTCAAATGACACATTGACGGAAAGGGAATAGTGGCCATTTTTCCTCTGAAGAATAAAACAGAGATGGGAGCGTTTTTTTTAAAAAAAGTTCTTTCCCCGTACATCAAACTATTAAAGGTTTAACAATATTGTTATTGATGCTTTGATGCTACCAAACATTGCAGCAGGATACCATGTTGGATAGCAGTTTCAGATGGCCAATGAGGCCGTATAGATTTTGAGTAACAAAAATTGCAGAGATCAAGAATTTTGGAAGGAACTCAACAGAGTCCACCATTATTTCTTTATATAACTGAGGCTCACTAACTACCAAGAGAAAGACAACTGAAGTACTTCCTATAACTTGAATGTTACCCCATTCTGAATATTACATCTCAGCATTTGACAGTGCACCCTGTTTGTTTTTTATGTGGTCACATTTTCAGTCCTAGCTCTAGGCTTTCAGCCAGCTTTATGGTCTTGAAACAGGCCAAGGTTCCCGTAGTCTATACTGCGAAGGCAACAGGACTTAAGCTTCTAGAAATGCCACCCATAGCACTTTGCTTCACTTTTTTTTTACTGTTGATGGTTATCACTTTTTTTAAAAAAAATCCAAATGTATTCATTCTGTCATTTCTGCCTCTACCACCTGGCACCTCCCTCCTTTGCGCTCAGTTCCTCCTGTTGCCACATTTCAACAGTGTATGCAACACTGGAGCCTCCCTGCCCCCTTAATGAGTGGTAGCAGAGAACTAATCTAGATTATTTATACAAATGGTTCTTAATTCAACAGTCCAGTCTATCAAAGAATAGATTTTTCAGTTCCGATTAATGAACTTAGTCCTTTAAAATTAACTAATCTGATTTCCATAATTTAAAAAAAGCATTTGTAGGCATCTGATCAAGAGGACCCTACTATCAGCATCAAAGCATATGGGGAGCATTATAGTACCAAACTGCACTGCTAATACAAAGCAGTACAAGGGGTTCATGAGGCACAAAAAAGGTGCAGGAACTCATGCAGACATCATGGTACCAAGTGAGATAAGAGGAACATCCTCTGGATGGTGACATTTCCAAAACAATGAGAAAATAACCATGTTCTAAAGGTGGAACAAATGCTATGTTTGAAAGATCTCTAAGTGACCTCTTTGCTTGCTCAGTCTGTTACCCAGATGCTAAGTGTTGATGGGCAATTTCAAGGCTCCTGTTCTACCCTTTCTGGTTCTTTAAAATATAGGGTGCCTGCAAAAAAGGTATTGCCATTTAAAAGAGGACATATGGATCCCTTAAACCATCCTCCATTCATTGCAAGTTGCTACCAAGCTTTTCATAGTCTCCCATGATCAATTCTACTGTTCAGGTTTTTTTTACTTGTCTTATATTTTCTCTATATTGCTCAGTGTGGTCCAGATTCCCACAACCTCGTGTCCTCCAAAAGTGTTGCTGGATTACATCTCCCTCCCTCATCTGCAGGCATGGCCATTGGTTCTGATGGGTGGGGATGATGAGTTTTATAGTCAAATGCACCTGGAGGACAACAGGTTGCCCTAGTCCATTCACCTTTCTTAAACAAGACTCTGCTCTGCTTCAGGAGCAAAATCCAGACAACATTCAGGTGAATTATCATTGCTTATTTATTCTCAAAAGCTGCTTCAGATTTTGGCAGCAATAGTTTGCAGGCTGGCAGCATGCTCAAGAAACTAACTGGCACAGTCTCTATTATATAAAGCTCACTTTCCACTTAATATCATAAAGGACTTATGAAGAAAATCTATCTAAAAGTGGAAAAGATGAGAGAATTGAAATACACATATTATTCTGAAAGTATACTCTATGTACAAAGTAATACAATACTCCCCATTTTCTGGCACATTAGACTTTGTTAGCATCGCAGAAAATCATTGTGTTTCATATTTTGCTTTTCCCCTTAGTTTTTGTTTTGGCAAAAGCCCATTTTTGAAACTTTATTGTCCAGTTTATATCCTGCACCTGGGGAAAAGATCTACTGTGTTTCGAAGGAGGATCTTTCTTCCTTGCTCTTTGCTCTGGGACAGATTCTGGGGCTCTCTTTTATACATTTTCAATGAGGCCACAGCATTCTCATCTCACCAGTGCAAAATGTTTATATTCTCTGGAATTTCCTGCAGCATCAGCCTGCTCCCCCATTATTTCTGTGATACTTTCTCCCTCTGCAGCTGCTGTTCAGAGCAGGCCTCCCTAAGTTATTTTATCGCTCATCAGTGAAGAGGATTTATGAGTACACTAATCCCTGACCTTTGCCCTTGAGGGTGGGGCTTATCCAAACATACACTCATTTGACGGCACATGTGACATTGGGAAATTTACCACTGTCCCTTACAGCTAAAAGCTTAGTCGTCTTTCCTTTTCCTTTCCTTAAGTTACTAGAAGTCCGTTGGCTAACTTTCTTCTTTAATTTGCATCATAAATGCAAAGGCTTTAGACATTTGGTTGCTAAGGCCAAAACAAAACAAATATTTGCAGAGCTGTAGAAGGATTCAGGAAAGAGAGAAATTCAGCCCTTTCATAAGGCAGTGAGGTATCGTGTGAAGTAGCGGATTCTGAGTATCACAAGAACTGAGTTTATAATTAGTTACTAGTTTTGTTATTAATGGACAGAATCCAATTTTAAAAAATACAGCAGTGTAACTCCATCAGTATAAATCTCAGCAGTGAATTGCCACTAGTAAAGAAGTCAGTCCAAGTATTTGCTGCCATGCACTGAGTTGTGTAACTAATTTGTACAGCAAGTGCCTACACCAACTTCATAACTAGTGGCAATTTGCTGCTGGATTTAATCTGGTACATTTAACAATAGCAGGGTTAAGAAGTAGGATTCTGCCCATTGTCACTTTGATGCCAAGAAGGGGGAGAGACTCTTCTAGAATTTTGTACCAAGATTATTTGCCCGGCTTGAACTATGATGCATCTTCAAGCCTGGGCAACAGGCTCTGCACATTTCTAGTTAATGTTAGGACCAACAGGCTCGTCATAAAGGTATATGTGTGTGTGTTGCATTTGTTAAAAAAAAGTCAGTGGCAAGGAGAGAAGAGTGAGGAGACAGCCATTCAGTTGGGACCAATGTGCCATGTCAAGCAAGGCAGGGAGGGGAGAACCAGCATTTTAGCTCATGCATGAGCCTTCTTATTGTACAAGCCCTGACAGCAATGGTGCCAGACTGGGTGGAGGGAGGACCAAAACAATTTCCCCAAGTACTTGGGGGAAGTCTTCCAAAAGTCATAGGAGCAGCACAGGGCCTGGGGGAAAGATCCATCTATGTCATATGTGTTGCAGGTACAGCAGAAAGCAAGTTCTAACAGTGGCAATCCCTGTAGCTGCTGAGTGCTTTTAAGCCATCTAACCAGGGGCTGGAAGATGTTTGTCTTCCTGACTCTGGGTTGCTGCATTATCTGGCTAACTGGTTTTTAATCCAGATTCTGGAAGCATCTACCTGTATTCTCCTCATGTTCATTTCCAAAGTAAGCTAGCCGAGAAACAAACTCGTGCATGTCATGTTCCACGGCACCACAAAGAACCACCTCCCAAGTCTCAGGGTTTGGCTTTAAAATCTCATGTACTGTGGTGCTGCTAACAACACTAGCTGCAAATTTAGAAATCATTGCTACAATTTAAACAGACCATATAGTAGAAATAGTGGGGAAGACTGTGGCCAGATGGAGGCACATTGAGGAGTTGAGCTTCCAACGTCTGGCTCTGCAATCTGATACCTAAACCACCGAGCTATCCAGCAGTTAAGAACATAACAATTGCAGCAGTATTGTTGGAACTAAACACAAAGAAGCTGAGACAATTATTCTAACAGTAGCTGAATATTGTAACAATTTAGAGTGGGACATTCAGGAAAAAAAAATTAAACCCCACAGTTTCCTGGGAACTCCCACCCCCTAGGCTGAATAATAGGTCTTCGAGCTGACAAAAGGAGGAGGAGATAGAGCAGATCTCTTAACTCCATGCCATTCCCTTGCCACGTCTTCATAGCTTTTTCAAAATGTGCCAGGCATCTTTGTGAATTGTGAGGATTCCCTGCAAATTTCGAACGAGACTGCCACCATAAAGAGTGTATGGAGGCAGCCTCCACTGGCATTCATTCTCCCATGAAATATTGCGACATATAGGGACCGGGAGTTGTTATTTTCTCCCCTGAAAGCCCCATCTGTAGTAACAATACTCTTGGGTATAAAATTCACTACTGTTGGAAGTGTAAAACACAAAGGCCAGAATCATATCAGTGTCTGTATAAAGACTGCAATAACTTGCTGTGACTATTGTGGCTAATTGGCAAGGTGATGGGGCACATCTTCGTTGTGTGCCTGGTCACGGACTCAACTGCACTATCAAGATGTGTTCCAGCACCTCACCAGTTTGCCACAATTAGCCATAGCAAGGTATACAAACTTTACATGGATACCAGTAAGATTCCAGCCAAAGACAATTGATTCTTAGAATTCTTTTGACAACCCTGCATCCCACCTAGGTGATGTCTGTATTCCATCTTACATGTTCCACTGCCTGAGAATATTGTATTATTATGTTATGTGCCATGTTTTTGTACTTTCTGATGGTACTACTGTAAGCTGTTTTAAACAGCTCCAATAATCCCATGATCCTAAGCATTTTTACACAATGTCAGAACTTTGACTTAAATTTAGAAAATTTTCCTACGATGCCCAACTTTTGGGTCATTTCATAACCGTAAATTCTTAATCCCCAAACAATCTGTACTTCTGTACACAAACTCCTACATTCCGGGTATCACTTTCATAGATCTTTTCCCTCTTCTGTTGTTTCCAGCTACTGAATTCCCCAGATGACAGCAAACATGTTTGCTATTAGTCCCAGAGCATATGACTATAATATTTTGCACTATTCAGTCTCATTCCATTTCTATTACTCAAGTTCAAAAGATCATTCATATCACTCTCTATAACTTCTTGACCATTCTCTGTAATGTGAAAAAAAGTCGTCCTATCTGGGGTCATCAGTAAATGTCATCAATATACTCCTACTTCCATTCGTAAACATAA